CTCTCTCATCGATGTTTCTAACTCTCTATCCCTCTCCCTTCCTCTCTGTAAAAAAATCAATAAAATATATATATATTTTTTAAAAAGAATTAGAGTGAACATCCATATACCTACCTAACCTATATTCTATGATTAACATTTGCCTACATATACTTTATCATGTGTGTATCCATTTATCTGTTCCTCCATTAAATGACGATCCCTTCTTGATAATTTTAACCAGCTTCTGTGACACTGAAGTGGCATGGTAAAGTTTACCAAAGTGACTTTATAATTGCCAATTGCAATAATTATTTTTTAGTTTTGATCTTCAAGAAAGAGGATATCAAACTATAGTCAGACTGTTTTTGTAAGTAATAATTTATTGGAATACAGCCACACCTATTTGATTACTTTCCAGCTACAAGTGGTAGAGTTGAATAGTTGTGACTGAAAGCCTGAAATAATTATTATCTGGTCTTTTAAGAAAGTTTGCCAACCCCTATCTAAATATTAGGATTGATTTTTTTTACCTAGAAATTTTTTCTTTGCTTTATTTCTGAAATAACTGTTCTCTTCTCTTTTATCTTCATAGTTGTAGTCGTTCCTTCTTAGTTCCCACAATTATTTCTCTTCTTTCTCTTCCCTTTTAAATAGTTTATTGGTTCTGTTATATACACTCACTTGGATGATCATATCCACACTGATTTACCATCTGTATATTAATAAAATGTTCAGGCTAGACCAGCCGTGGGCAAACTACGGCCCGCGGGCCGGATCCGGCCCGTTTGAAATGAATAAAACTAAAAAAAAAAAAGACCGTACCCTTTTATGTAATGATGTTTACTTTGAATTTATATTAGTTCACACAAACACTCCATCCATGCTTTTGTTCCGGCCCTCCGGTCCAGTTTAAGAACCCATTGTGGCCCTTGAGTCAAAAAGTTTGCCCACCCCTGGGCTAGACCTTTCTCCTGAGCCCAAGAGCCAATTTGGAACTGGATAGCTCTATCTAAATGTTCCATGAAAACCTCAGCACAGCAGTCCCAAAACTGAATGCAGAATCTTAAATCCTGCAAACCCGTCTATCTTTCTATGATACCATCATCAATTTAGTTAAATATCCAATCACAGTCTTGGAATTCTTCTCTAGGTATTTTTTTCTCTTGTTGATTCTCTTCCCAATATCTCTTTGTCATCATACTTCTCTGATTGCTGCAGTACACATTTTTAAAAATTTCTCATTTCTACTGCTGTGATAGAACTTCCCTTCCTCAGCCTCTTCCTTCCCCCATGTTCTACATTGATACCAGTTAGCCTTATAAAGTGCAAATCTTACTTTACTTTACTACTAAAAACCTATTAGCTCTATCACCTACTTGGTAAGTCTCAATTCTTTTTTTTAAGATTTTTTTTATTGATTTCAAAGAGGAAGGAAGAGGAGAGAGAGATAGAAACATCAATGACAGAGAATCATTGATTGGCTGCCTCCTGCATGCCCCCTACTGGGGCTTGAGCCCACAACCCGGGCATGTGCCCTTGACTGGAATCGAACCTGGGACCCTTCAGTTTACAGACCGGCATTCTGTCCACTGAGGCAAACTGCCTAGGGCATAAGTCTCAGTTCTTGAGTTTGCAAAGTTCCTCCATGATTTGAGCTATCTACATACTCAGCTTAATTCCCTAAATTCTTATTGTTCCTCAAGCTCAAGCTTTTTCAAGATGCATTCATTTCTTTTTTTTTTTTATTGCTTAAATTATTACAAAGAGTATTACATGTTTATCCTTTTTTCCCCCCGCCCTTGACAATCCCGTGGCCTCCCCTACCCCCCCGTGTCTGTGTCCATTGGTTATGCTTATAAGATGCATTCATTTCTACATGTCATTTTACCCAATCTGCCATGTTTCCTCTACCTTAGGACATTTTTTTTTGTTTGTTTGTTTGTTAATCCTCACCCGCGGATATTTTTCCATTGACTTTTAGAGAAGGTAGAGGGGAGCGTGAGAGACACAGAGAGAGAAACATCGCTGTGAGAGAGAAAGAGAGACACATTGGATTGGTTGCCTCCAGAACTGCCTGACTGTAACTGATGTAAGTGCCCTTGAACAGAGTTGAACCCAGGACCCTTCAGTCCTCGGGCCGACATTCTATACACTGAGTCAAACTGGCTAGAGGCCTAAGGAAACATTTTTAGGCCTCACCCGAGGATTAGAGAGAGAGAAACGGGGAGAGAGAGAGAGAGAGAGAGAGAAACATTGATCACTTGCCTCCCGTATGCACCCCAACCAGGAATAGAACTCACGCCTTTTTTTTGGTGTAAAGGACGACTCTCCAACCAACTGAGCCACACCGGCCAGGGCTACCTGATGAAACTTTTCCTCTTAGCAAGCTTCTCTTTTCTCTTGAAAAGTTGTTCACTCCTTGTTTTATATATATATATTCTTGTTAAAATATTCTGTTTGTCTCCGAGTGCTTAGAATTATGGTTTTACATGTTATATATATGTATGTGCTATCCATTCATTTTTGGTACTTAGAAGCATAGCCTGAGTCCCAGCTTTGGTTTCCTATTTAGTGGTGAGGTGGACTCAAAGATTTCTTCTAGCTCCTAAACAAGCCAATAATTTGACTTATTTTCTTGTTAAGAATTAATATTAGAAACTATATCATTTTAAATATAACAAAATCTCGGTGTTAAAATACTAAAGATGTATAAAATACTTCTGAAAGAAAGTGAATTCCTCAGTTATTTTAAGTGTATACTTTGCTTTATTAAATAATGGAATATTTGAGAATAAATTTACCTCTTTTCAATCCATATGGGAAGTTTTATCCTTTACAAGTGTTGTATGGTAAGTTCATAATCATCTCAAAACATGTGGTATAAATTAGGGCTTTGCATATGTGTTTTTCTTTTTTTTGAATCTTTATTGTTGATATATAGGGTTTTCTTAAATCGCTATACACTGATACAGCTCTAGCAAAACAGTAAAGTCCAGTTGTGTCTAGCCTGAGCTGTGGTTAATTAATGTCCACATTATTTTAGAAACTAGTAATTCTATTTAGTTGTATAATACTTGCCCTACACAGTATTTAGAAACATCTCTAATTAGAAACAATCTCTAACACCTCACTTGACTTAGTATTAGTTTTCTACTACTTATATTTCAAATTGGAGATCAGAGTTGATAAATGTTATTTGTCTTTCTTTCATCTATACAACTTATGAATTCTAGCTTATGTTATAATAATGTTACAGTTTGTTTGCAGTGGAGAGTGAATCAATGACATTTAAAACCTACATTAGTTTTATTTAGAAAAAGCAGGTTATTAGGCAGTTAGAGCTTAGCTAGTTATAACTCTATCGTCATATCAATCCAATTTTTTTTTTCTCATGTAGTACAAGCAAAATCCTGAAATGTTCAAACAGACAGCTCGACTCTGGGCACATGTGTATGCTGGAGCACCAGTTTCTAGTCCAGAATACACCAAAAAAATAGAAAACCTATGTGCTATGGGCTTTGATAGGGTAAGTAACATAAAGGCATGCTGTTTTTGATATGTTCATTGATTTTAAATGATTGCAGCAAATTCTTGGCTGACAGAATTGGTTCAAAAATACTCTAAATTTAGTTTTGATATATGAACTTTTTGTTATTAAAAATCAGTGATTTTTCTTTTCCTTTTGCTCATTCCAATCATTTGTTTTAGAAGCTTTTTATGCACAAGTGCAACTCAACATAAAGATAAAAAAACAAAAATAGGGTGTGGTTTCTAAATATAAAAAGACAGGGAGTGATTTAAGATATTTGAGATTTGATTTTTTTTTTTGTCCCCCTTTTTATTTCTACAGAATGCGGTAATAGTGGCCTTGTCTTCAAAATCATGGGATGTAGAGACTGCAACAGAATTGCTTCTGAGTAACTGAGGCATAATGAGAGAGCTGCTGATATAGTCAAGCTTGCCCCTTCTTGAGGAGCATCAACATCTGTTATTTTTAGGATTCTGCATAGATTTCTTTTAAACTGGCATTCTTGCCTAATGATGTTATCTAGGCACCATTGGAGACTGAAAAAACAAAACAAAACATCCCTGCTCTGTAAATAAAGCTAATTAAACGTCTGTGTAAATTTAAAAAGGGGAAATACTTTAATTTTTTTTCTTACTTAATAGTGTAAAAATTTTTTGAGCTAAGCGAAACCATGGAAAAAAACATGCTACTTTAGTATTTAGCAGTGTACCAGAATAGCAAGAGTTTGCTTCAGGGTTTTGTTGAATAATTAGGTAATATTTTGAGTGTGTCAGGACCATTCAAATTGTTGGTGTTGCATCACAGCTACCTTAACTGTTTTTAACATGGATCCTCTGTGCCTGTGAATTTACTTGCATGCTTGTACTTGACTTCTTAAGATGGGTAGCTGAAAAGACCACCATTTTAAGCATTTGAGAATTCTTAAACTTGAGGTTTATCTAGAATGAAGATGGTGACCTATTCAGAGCCTTTTTGTCCTGGTCAGCAGACTGGGACACTATATTTATTTTTCCTCTCTTGCCACACACAGCTAATATCCTAATAGTAAATTCTCTGGGAAATGTGCTGAGGGACAGTATCCCTTGCTTCATTTTTTAGGTTGTCCATATGGAATGTTATGTCACAGTTCTTTACTCTTAAAAACGTTCCTATGTTAAGTAATAATGTAAAGATGGAGCTGCCAATTTTGTTTCTCTTGCAAAATCAGTAAATACTTGATGTTGCAGTATTCCCAAGATTTAATAAAAGAACCCAACTTAGTTTTTCAAGTGAATTTGACATCTATTTTTAAGCTGATGAAGTTTTTCTTTGAGAACTCGAAAAGATGAAATAAACCAACTGCAGTTTTTTAGCCTAATTTTGGCTTTATAGAGATTGCTTTATCAGATACTTTAAAAGTCACTCTTGCTTGCATTTCCCCCTATTTACACATGAAAGCTGTGTTGGTGTTTAACTGTACATACTTCAGATGCACATAGGAATAGAAATGTGTTATAAATCTAGCTTTCTTTATGATGTTTCTGATAATACGAAAATTGAAAACTTTACCTTCTCTTGTACATATAGTCAGACTTTCTGTGTATTAAACTTACATTTCATTCTAAATTCTAAAGTTTGAAAATTTTTAGTTTTGCAAGTTCAAACACTATTGTGACCATTTTATGAAGGTTGAAATGGATTTATGCAGGCAGTTCTATGCATAGAAACACAGTTCTTATTAAATTTTCAGGACAGTGCAAATAATAAAAATGTAATGGAATTGGAATTAATTAAAGCAAGGTTGTACATTGAAAGTCCTATTATAAAAGGTTTGCTTTCTTCAAGTGTTATTTATCCTAAATTATAATTGTTAAGTGTTTGGAAAATAATTTTAAACCATAAATTCATCATAATTTCATTGAATTCTCAATAATCTTAGAAGCAATAAAAGAACCATTGTTAAATATATTGTAACGTTAAAGATGTGAAGGTTCTTCCAAAAACTTGTAAGGCTTTCCTAATCAATAGTAAACTCTAGTAGTAGATATTGCATACTAAACACAAGTTGCTATGTTTTTTTCCCTATATGTTTGCTTAAGCATAAATTTCTTTATACAATCACCTCCTTTAATTGTAGTTTAGTTTCTTTCTAAAGATGCCAAAGGAAACAAGATTTTTCTTTATTTATTTTAAATAACTAATACCTTGTACTTTTCTTTATATTTTGAAGTAAGGTTGGAATTATGTGAAAATGTGGACAGTTTTGTTGCATTGTTGGTTAGAATTTTTTTTTAAGTGGAGGGCAGCTTGGTAATATATTTGGATTATTTTAAATATCAAACATCTACCCAGTTTACTAATTGCTTATATTTTCAGGGTATATTTAATTGTCCTGTGGTTAGACAAAGGAGAGAGCTCAGAGGTTACTAAACGTCAAGCATTACTTAGCTCTGGGAGGCAGCTATACCTTGCCTTTGATTTTTATGCACATTAGCCCATAGGGTATCTATTCATCTAACTATAATTCAACATCCCAGTGCCCAGGAAATTGAAAAGTAAAATATTTGGTATGAGAGGTTCTCCATAATGGATTTTTCATTTCAAAACTATTTACCTCATTTTCATTTAATGTGATAATTCTCCTTTCTGGAACACTGTCATCCTATTTTGTTTTTTTCATATTTCTCTATAGGTGGATTTATTTTCCTAAACAAAGAAATTAAAGCAATTTCTTTTTTTCTCTGGTCTTATATATGTTTAGAAAAAGGACACTAAAAGTACAGGTCTAGGTAAAAGGTACCCTGATAAAAAATTATTTTTATAATTCTCAATTTTTTTGTGATTTTCCAGTTTTTTTAAAGGCCTCAAAAACAGTGGTTAAAAATATATATTTAGGGATGTCTTGTTTACGGCAGGCAGATTTGCTAGAAGACACTGATACTCCAGCAGGCTTTTATTATAATCAAATCTATTCCGTGAGTATGTGCCTGACTTTTACAACAACAAATAATTGTATAATATTTCAGTACAGATAACTGAAAGAATGAATAGCTATTTGTGACCCAAATAAGTATATAGTAAGTAGCATATAAATATTTGAAGGACTTGTACTAAATTAGATGCTCTGAGTTGGCTCCCACAAATGTTTGGAATTGTGACTATGGTTTACTTAAACACAACACATTCAATTATATAAATATGTTTGGATTCTGAGTATTTTGCTTTTAAGGAGAATAATCTATGAAATGAAAGTAAGACTGATGGGGGGGGGAGTTTTTCACATTTGTGGTTGTTGGTGACGCTTAAAACTATGCAAAATAATTTTTTTAAGTATCCAAGAGAATTGGCAGTTGGGTGGATTATGAAATGAAAGTAAGACTGATGGGGGGGGAGTTTTTCACATTTGTGGTTGTTGGTGACGCTTAAAACTATGCAAAATAATTTTTTTAAGTATCCAAGAGAATTGGCAGTTGGGTGGATATTGCTTACTTATGCACTACAGAATGTAGCATATCGTGTTACTGTTTAGGCTGCTTAATAAGTTTATCAATGTGAAAGTAGATCTTGGCTATAAGTTTACACCTGATTTGAGCTTTTAAAACTCTGCAATAGGAGTAAGATAATGTTTCCACAATCTTGTAGCAACAGAGGAAAGAAAGCATTTTGTTGTTTCAAAGATTTCAGATAAATTCGGGCAGGGAAGAGTTGGAGCCAGGTATACTTGTACATAGATGGAAACAATGTTTGGATATGAAAAAGGAAGCCGTCTGTTTACAGTTAACTTTATTTCATGGACTTTTACAAAATGATGTATTAAACACTTTTCTAGTTCAAGAAATTTCAATTCCAGGGTACAAACCATTGATTTAAGAATTTTGCATTTCTATTCTTTTAGTACCAGTTTAAAATAATGCTTAATACCAGCCCATTGCTATCACTAGGGAAGAAGGCAACTTGAAGTATTTACTGATAAATAGCCTTTTCCCCAAATGCAACTTTTCTGCAGTGTCCGCATATTATGTCACATGTTCTATTTGCACTGCTGCAACATGGATCAAAAATCTTGTGGCACAGGGGTAGAGGAATGTCAGTATCTCTCCTGTCCTGTTCTCTTACCGCTTTATTGGACTGATCTGCCCTCAGAAACCTGTGATCATCACCTAAATGTAAGTTGAGAATGTGTCACCTTCTGCTTGGTTATTTTAACCATGCTGCTATATATATATAATCAGGTGTGGCACAGTTTATCAGTTTGGTTCTAGCGGGTGGGTGGATACAAATCATTGCACTGTGCTGTTAACCAATCCTTGTGTGCTTGCTGTTACCTACTTTTTACAGGCATCATAATAAAAGCTAGACTATTTCTTTTGGGGGGAAAGAGACTTATTTAATGTAATTTAAAGACTTTTCCAATAGAAAATGAAATACTATTGAAAATAATATCTATTTTTTAGCTTTCAGCAATTGATGGTGCTTTGTTGTGGTGTCTGCTGGAAGTCTACTGCCATTGTAGGGATTCTCATTAACCTCACTAAGAAAGAACCTTGCTTGTTAGCTTCTCTAGATCTCTATTCTAAACCATCTGTTAGTGATGATAAATCTGTAGGAGGGTCTATCCTAAGCCGTTAACTTCCTGTATGGGGAAAGTGGGTGGGTTACCAGAAAGACCATGAAGCAGGGCGGGCTGTCGGGGGAGGGTTGGGTATTTGTCTTGAGAATTACAACTACGAAACACTTTTGTACACAACTGATTTTTTAAAAAAAATAAACACATTTTTAAAGATGTTGAATTTTTTTTCCCCCCTTACTGGGAATTCTTAAAAATAAATGCATGCATGTTTTCCCCTGAAAATGGTTTATATCTTCTTTCTGGGTGTTCATCTATGGACAGGCGATTAAGCCTCCACATAACTTTAAACAAGAAAAAAGGTAGCTGTTTCTCCTAGACAAGTTTCAGAATGATGAGCATATGATGATAGATGCAATAAATTATATTGGGTCTGAATTTTAAAATGAGTTGAAATTGTTTAATTCTAATTAAAATTATTTATTTGAAAATAGAACATTATTTAACTAGGTTCTAATTCAAAAATTAGCGTAATCCAGAGTGAGTATTGAAAGTAATTTTGTTCTGTTTTCATAGTGCACACAAATCTTTCTGGAAAGAGTCCTATTACCATAGAAAGGACTGAATTGTTTCAGAAAGTCTTGGGTCACTATCCTTGGATTACCCCTGCCTCCATTAGGAATGATAATTAGAAGAGATCATGTTGATTAGGATTTGTGCTAGTTATTTTACAGAGCAAACTGATCATTACTTTGTATCTCTAGGGCATTCATATCGAGCTTTCAGCAGTCCTTATTTTCTCTAACCTGGAAATGGAATTGCTCCTGAATGGAATGCCTATATGAAGTGCTCTTTTCATGGAGCAGGCTGGAGCTTTTCATATTAAAAATCAAGGATAACAAATGGAATTCAAGTGAGCTGTCATGCCAATCCCCAGCAAAGAATGGTCAGATTTAAAGGGTAGAAACACTTGGTACGTGTTTTGATTCGATCATCAAAGATTTAAAGATTTTCAGTAAATAACATGAATTCTCTAATAAAGCTTTTAGGAGTATGTCCTATAGCAGTGATGGCGAACCTATGACACGTGTATCAGAGGTGACAAGCGAACTCATTTTTTTGGTTGATTTTTCTTTGTTAAATGGCATTTAAATATATAAAATAAATTTCAAAAATATAAGTCTTTGTTTTACTATGGTTGCAAATATCAAAAAATTTCTATATGTGACACGGCACCAGAGTTAAGTTAGGGTTTTCCAAAATGCTGACACGCCGAGCTCAAAAGGTTTGCCATCACTGTCCTATAGTAACATACTATCTATCTATGTATGCATGTAATGTTCATTTCACCCCATTTTATTTTAGTAAAAATACATTAAAGCACAACTTTATCATTTAAATTTCCTATTATAAATTACCTTGTAAGATGTTGACGCGCCAGAACTGGTTTGGCTCAGTGGATAGAGCGTCGGCCTTCGGACTGAAGGGTCCCAGGTTCGATTCCGGTCAAGGGCATGTACCTGGGTTGCGGGCACATCCCCAGTAGGAGGTGTGCAGGAGGCAGCTGATCGATGTTTCTAACTCTCTATCTCTCTCACTTCCTCTCTGTAAAAAATCAATAAAATATATTTAAAAAAAAAAAAGATGTTGACGCAAGGTTGTGTAAATATTCAGTTTACAATACTTGTAGACTCTTTTTCCTTTTAATATATTTTTATTGATTTCAGAGAGGAAGGGAAAGGGATAGAGAGAGAGAAACATCAATGATGAGAGAGAATCACCGATTGGCTGCCTCCTGCATGCCCCCCACTGGGGATCAAGCCCGAAATCCAGGCATGTGCCCTTGGCCAGAATCGAACCTGGGACCCTTCAGTCTGCAGGCTGGCGCTCTATCCACTGAGCCGAACCGACTAGGCTGTAGACTCTTTTTTTAAAAAAAATATATTTTATTGATTTTTTACAGAGAGGAAGGGAGAGGGATAGAGAGCTAGAAACATCGATGAGAGAGAAACATCGATCAGCTGCCTCCTGCACACCCTCCACTGGGGATATGCCCGCAACCAAGGTACATGCCCTTGACTGGAATCGAACCTGGGACCTTTCAGTCCGCAGGCCGACGCTCTATCCACTGAGCCAAACCGGTTAGGGCTGTAGACTCTTTTTCAATGTACATACATAGACAAAATTTTAGAAACCCAAAGTGTATCTTATTTCTTACTGAGTAAACATACCTCGTACTTTGCTGCATGTACAGAGTATACCTAATTTAACTTAAGGGCAACCAGTAGTACTTTTTCTTCACTTAACATTTAGCTCTAATTATTGTATTCTGTAGCTCTTCATTTTCAATATGTGAAATACATTCCTTTGCTATACACATTCATTATTATTTGCATTATGT